TACTGAGTTTGAGGTGGAGTAATGCTACTTAGACCTATACTAAGGGTTATAGTTGATATTCGTAAAATCACAGTTTTCAACTTAGTGTGCCTTACGATATTATCTGAGTTTTGTTGACTGCTATTGACCTGTTCAAAATGTAAAGTTCTAAGTTTTGTTTCTGCGTGTTTGCAGTTGGATAAAATGTTTGCTTTTAAATTGCATTATTATATATCTTCCTACCCAGACTCTATGCAGTTCTTAACTTCATGTCTTTTAATGGTAATGGTTGTGGATTTAACGATCGCTTAAGAGTATCTGTATGATTTTTGTGTTCAGTTTTGTTTTTTTGAAGCGTGCTATGACCGGTAGTATGACCTGACAGTACACGAGCGATATGAACCTAACAGACTACGAACGATACTAACCTAGCGCGCAGCGAATTGACTCTAAAGCAAATCAGAACGTCAACCACCACCACAACAATACCAACGACATGCGAATACAAGAAGGCACAGACTGTTGACAGAGAGCTTTTACTACCTTAACAACAGTCGATACAGTTGACAGCAATGTTGGATATATACATTTCGAAATGACAACATTAAAAGACAACATATAGGTAAACATAGTTAACAACTAATGAGAGTTCAGCCTTGAAAACAGAGGAAAGACGAACTAGTGACTGTGTGAAAACACCCATGTAGGTTATTTTAAGGTCATGGCCAAACATCAGGATATAGCTATGCGAAATTATAGGTATATAGCACCTCCCCCTCAGAAAATGAACATGTACAACGCATAGTTTAGTACTTCTGTCTTTTTGGATCAATTTGGAAGTGTACCTTTCGAGTTCTTTTGCGCTCTGGATAAAAACTCCTTGATCTTTGGCCTCCCTTGAGTTGATTCTGTACCGACTGGGGGTAGTTCGAAAGTCTCAAGTAGCAGTTCCAACGGTATCTCGGTTTCAGAGAACGTGGTATGGCGACGTCGTATCTGATTTTTGTGTCTCATTCATCTTTCGTACCCCACTTTAACCTCGTACATCAAAGTTCCTCGTTGACCTTCAATCAGACCTGCTCATTGTCTTCCTGGTCGATAATCGCGAGTGTAGACCGGGTCTCCTTTGTGAAAATATTTCACCGTATTTTTCCGTTGAACTGGTGAAGATGGCAACATAGAATGATGATGGGTACGTAGCGTGCGTCCCATTAAAAGCTCAGCTGGGCTTTTTTTCTCCTCTGCCAGTGGCGTGGTGCGGTATGCAAAAAGGGAATGCTGTATGATCTCCGGTGTAGCTCTTTCCCCTGCCTTCAATGACGCTTTTTTGAAGGTGTCCACAAGTCGCTCCGTCTGGCCGCTGGACTGAGGGTGGTATAGTGGCGTCCGCACATGTTGTATACCATTTCTTTTACAGGAATCTTGAATTTACTGCCGTTGTCAGGTACAATGCATTCTGGAATACCACGGCTGCTGGAAGGTGGGGTAATCGGAACTACCTCGGGCCACTTTGAATAGGCGTCCACAAAAACCAAGTAATACTCACCGTCTACCGGCCCAGCAAAGTCCAAGTGTAGTCAAGGCCATGGTTGCGATGGAGGCCATGGTCGAGGCTGCTCTTGGGGAGGATTCTTGGCAGCGGCTTGACATGAGGGGCATCGGTTAACGAACTCTGTTACATCAGCGTCCATACCTGGCCAGTATGTATAACATCTGGCGATAGACTTCATGCGCACAATGCCTGGGTGTTCGTTAGGGAACTAACTGTTTCAGTACTATCCTTCCCAATTTGTGCGGTTTAACCACTCGTTCTCCGAACATTGGGCACTCATTAATGATGTTGAGACTGTGGCTGCGGCGGAGTAATTGTTTGAGGTCCCGGTTTGACACTGATGCTAGCCAAGAGTTTTGGATGAACATCATAACTTGTTGCAAAGTTTCATCTCTTTGCGTGGCCTGCCTTATTTGCTCTGCTGTGATGGGTAGCTCCTTAATGGCGCATGTTGACAAATTCTGAACATATCTTTCTGTCTTCACAGCGGCAATAACTGTTTCTTCGCTTGATGAGGGGTAGTCACTCGTCAAGCGCAAGAGAGCATCTGTGTGGCCGAAATCCGCTGTCCGGCGATATTTGATGTCGAAGTCGTACCTCAGTAAGATCACCGCCCATCGTTGTAATCTGTTTTCAGAGTGGACTAGGATGCCTTTCTTTGAGCCAGATACGGAAAGGAGGGGCTTGTGACCTGTTGGTAAGGTGAATCTTCTACCGTACAGCATCTTATGAAACCTTCGAACCGCACAGACCAAGTCGAAAGCCTCCTCTATCTGTGCGTATCACTTTTCTGCTGCAGAGAGGGGGGGGAGTGAGATTTTGGATAACAGCCGTCAGGAAATTCATGCAACAGAACGGCAACAACTCATGTAACTGAAGTGTCTGCTGCGACTATAATAGGCAGTTTGGAATCACAATGCCTAAGTAACAATTCAGAAGCTAGGCTGTCTTTCAGTCGTTGGTCGGCTTTATCGCACTCTTTGGACCAGATCCATGGATGATCTTTTTGTGACAGGCGGTTTAGTGGTTCGCGAAAATTGTGCAATAATGGGAGAAAGGTTGAGTATTAACTGATCATTCCTAAAAAGGAGCGAAGCATCGGCACGTCTTTCGGGACCGGCATATATTGAATCGCCTTTATGTTCTCGGGGTCAGGTCGTCGTCCACTCGTATCAAAGATAAAACCCAAATGCTTTACGGACTGCAAGAGCAGTTGACATTTTTCTACTCTTAGTCGTAGTCCATTGTCAGTGATCTTCAGTAGCACAAGCCGTACTCGCCCTCTCAATTCCTCAGGGAAAACTGCGACCATCAGTATATCGTCCAGATAAGTAGCAACCCCCGAATGCCAGCGAGGATGGTGTCCATTAATTGCTGGAATATGGCGGGGGCAGTCTTAACTCCAAAGGGTAACCTGTTGTACTGAAACAAGCCTGTGTGTGTGTTTATCGCTAAAAGTTCGCAGCACTCATCCGAACTCCGACCTGCAGGTATGCATCAGCCAAATCAGTCTTTGCCAAGACTTCCTTACCATTTAGGATGCTAAACAAGTCATCCGTAACTGGCATCGGATAATGGTGCTGTTCTAGAGCTGCATTCAGACCTATGAAGAAATCAGCATGAATACCGATGGAACCATGTAGCTTTTTGATAACTACAATAGGGGCTGCCCGTGACGAATAAGTTACTGGAGTTATAACTCCTGCTTTTCTAGTCGTCTCAACTCAGCTTCTACAATTTCGTGAGGCGTACGGAACAGGTCTTTTGGGGCGAAAAACTGGTGTGCCGTCAGGTCTCAATCGTAGGACAGCTTTTCATGGTGTTGCAGCGTTCTAATCCAGACTGGAACAACATCTTGAATTCCTACAGTAATGTTGAGGCTTCTATAGCTTCGATCTTATTGTCCATACTGGTTACGGGGATTTTCGCTAGCCTCAATTCCTCAAACCAGTCCAACCCCAACAAATCTAAGTTGAACTGTTTACATAACATGTACCAATGAACTAGGTCTCACGAAAGCCGATGTTACGCTTCAGTTGTCCACTTAGTCGGAGTTTTCTGCCGCAATCGCTGAGTTTAATTTGATTTGTCTTCTCCTTGGTAGGTCTTCTCGATTTCTGCCATAGATTCTCCGGTATTATTGTTATGTCTGATGCCGTGTCTGTTTAAAGACGTCCAGGCTGGGAGTTGATCATGACATCAATGTATTTGCGTGGAGCGCAAGTGCTAATGTTGTGGGTAGCTGTAGTAGTCATAGACTTTGGCATGGGACGTCGACGGCATTACCTTCTGAACTTTGGTCAGCCATTCTGTTTGCAGAAACTTTCAAGTTGACAGAAGAGGCGAGGCAGCGAAGATGGGCTTCCTTCGGATTAACATAGAGAAGACAGAGGTGATGAAGATACCCAACGAACAACAACAAGCACTAATCACCATTAACGGAAGAAAACTAAAGGAAGTAGTCTCTTTCACCTACCTAGGCAGAGCAGCATCGTTTCAACTACAGGCGGCACAGATGAGGATGTCAAAACCAGGATCGGAAAAGCAAGATAGGTTTTCATTGATCTGAAATGAGTGTGGAGATCTACTGCACTCATCATGTGGAACAAGATCCGGATTTTCAACACTAATTCAGTGAAGTCAGTGCTTCTATATGGTTCAGAAACTTGGAGCGTTACGAAAGCACTTCCAACAAACTACAGACATTCATTAACAGCTGTCGCCTACGCTCACTCGATACTGAAGATCAGATGGCCAGAATAATAAGGATAAGCAACAAGGAACTCTGGCTTGCAACGAACCAACCAAGAATCCATCGCCCAACAAATATGCAGAAGAAAGTGGAGATGGATTGGATTGGACATGCACTGAGACGGTTTGGGGATATCACATGCCAGGCCTTCGAGTGGAACGCGCATAGGAAACGACGAGTTGGGCGTCCGAGGGTGACATGGAGGAGATGGTGTGAGAAAGAAATGAAAGCTTCTGGGCAGTAGTGGAGGCAGGTTGAGAAGATTTCAGAGAACAGAGTGGAATGGAGACGTGCTACTGAAGCCTTATGTTCCACTAGGAACTCAAGGGACAAATAACTTCTACTTCTTCAGACGTGATGGGTCCATTTCAAAATACACTTGTCGCCAATTCGCTATGACTGATAGTACGACCTAACAGTCTACGAGCAATACAAACCTAGAAGACTACGAACAATACGACCTAACGCGCAGCGAGTCGACTCTAACGCAAATCAGAACGTCAACGACCACAATAACAAAGTAGTGCTCACTTTCTACCCTAGATTTCTTCATAAGCGATCTTTCCATTTTGTAAGGCAAATGGATGCATCGTATACTCCTAGTTTGTTGTTAAGGTTCGAAGTTAGAAAGTTGCACCTGACACAATGGCATTTAACACTTTAAGTCATCGCAGTAGTTGTGATTGACTCAAAGAAATAAGTAGTTACAGCGTATCTTTCATTAATTTTGGTTTTCTCTTATTTTTAAACTTACAACAGTTTCCAATGGTAATTCTTCCGTTTACAATTAGTTTGAAGTAGTTTTCTTTGAAAAAATGAAATTTTAGATGCGAATTTCACTGATATAATTTTGATTCATTATGTAGTTCTGGTTTTTTATATTCTTTGTTTTTTCTCGTTTAAAGTTATTTTGTTCTCCTTTTACACTTCTCTTAGATTTTATTTGTTTTCAAAGTTGGTCACTCAGTACAAAGGAAACCAAAGCCCGTTAACGGTCGAACACATCACTGGAGGTGTTATGTGGATAGTTGGAATCCTCGTTACCCATTGTCCGCGTTTGTAAAAAAAGTCACCTTCAAACTGCATAATACCTTTGAAAATCCAAGACAAGGTGTTCATTTGAGGTTGTTTTATACATACATCGCTTGATTTCATTCACTCCTAGATTATTTAGGAAATTGTGTTGTTTTGGTGACCTAGTGCCTCATGGGGCCTGTGGTTTAGGGAGATGACCGCTAACCATTGGGTCACGGGTTCGAGCCCCGCTCCACCTACTGATGTTCGGGCAGCGAGGTAGTAGCAATAACCCTCACGCAATAGGCTTAATGCCTACTGCATGGATGGTCACAAGGTGGCTGTGTGCGTTGCAGTTTGCTGTATTCAGCTGTGCATAAATAATTGTGGTGTTCACGTATTTACAGACGGCTTTACTACGTTCTACATTGTTCTAGCAGGTTTAGAATCATTGATTTCATGGAATTATGCAATTAGCTATTCATATATATAGTCATATGACTATCTAAATTCGATTTGTTCTGAATGTCCTCGACTATTTCCAACTTTTTGGGAAGTTTGCGTGTCATGACAGCTGTCGTTGTTTCTGGAACCAGAGTTTTCTTAAAATCCATATTTAGTGTATTGGATGACCTATCAAACAGCATGAATTGCTTGACGCTGTGTGAAATTTTACTCTTCTAATCATTCCCAATTCGATATTTACTTTCTCATTTCTGATGTCAATAACTGTCTTATTTCTCTAAAAATGGTTTCTCATCATTATCTGTGACGTGCCGTATATCTGTCTGTCTGTTTGAAACAACTAACCATACTCCGACTGATAGCTGCTACCGTGACTTGGTGGTTAGGCTTGAATACAAGCCATGCTAACGGAACTCTCGAGGTGCTACCATACCACAAAAGTCTGTTGGATAGTGGTTAGACAAAAAGTAGTTACCGTTATAGTGTAAATTACTGCGCTGTGATGAGGATCCGAGGGTGAAGTCGTACAGCTAGCTGGATGGGGATATGAAAACAATAAGGTGTTTCCTTTCGATGACTAGTAGTGGCACACTGATGCTGCCTTCCCGATGAGAAGCGAGGGTTAGGAAAGGTTGGCCCCCAAAATAGCACACTCTGTCTACACAATGACACGCTGGTCCTACAGGTTCATTTGGTTTATTGTATGCATCTCTCAGAAGCACAGGACATATCTAGAACCCAAGACGGCGAAGCTATCGGTCCGATTAAACTAAAGGTGCGTGATTTTTGGAGACCAGAGATGACCCATACTAGCACATATCGCTCTGACTTTTGATATTCTTAGTTATGTTATCATCCACTTAAGTTCACCATTAACGGTGTCAGCAGTTGGGCGGGGCTAAACCCCCTGACATCTCTGTTAACCCTGATGTTGACACTGATGATAATCGACCATCCGTATCTTTGCTTTCTAACAATTCTTCAGAGTTTTCACTCAATAATCCGACGTCAGTGTTGGTTGCTTCTAGCTCTGAAGTCCTTGAAAGGGATTTGAATTCGCGAAACAGCATCTCTGGTCTCCAGAAATCACGCACCTTTCGTTAAATCGGACGGTTGACTTCGCCTTCTTGAGCCCCTGATATGTGCCATGTTTCTAAGAGATGCATGCAATGAACTATCACGATTGTTCACTTAACCTTTCTCGATCAATGTGGTAACTTTGTACGATTCACTCTTCGAGTTTCCGGGAGTTCGATAAATTGTTACGATCTTACAGGTTAAGGTCTGCTACTAAGTTCGTAGGAGGAAATTGTATGCCGTTGGAGTGAATTCTGCAGTGAGAACTAAAGAAAATGGTTAAACTCACCATCGTCTGTTTGCAATCTCTAATTGCAGTTTAGGTGAAGTGGAAGACGATTTTCACTGAGAACGGTCAAGCCTTCAGTCATATACCAGACGTTTAGGATATGGTTGTTGCATCAGAGGATTTCAATGCACAAGTGTGTAGATTAAACCAGGCGGATAGGCACCTAGATAACTCTTTTGGAATCCTGGTTGAAAGAAAGATTAAAGGCAACAACCGACCGCTGTGTAAACTTTGTCATAAAACCTTATCAGGTTGTTTAAGCGGGTGCTTTTGATTTTACCCTTTAGTGTTATACGCATAGTCCTAACTTTGTAAACATCTTGTTTACTTCCAGTTGTACGACAAGCTCCATTTGCTATTGAAGAAGATGGTTTTGGAACATTCCAGTTACAGATTGAAGTTGCCTTCCTTGACTGCGTTACCACATTCTACTATGATTTGACACTTTTCGATCAAAATGCTTTGCATACCTATCGTACAATACAACTGGATCCAGCACCTGAAGACTGGGATAAACTTATCCAACTAGGCGGAGTAAGTTACCTGCTGAATTACATTTTTTGTGTGTTTAGTTTTCATTTTTTAATATATGTGAGCATGAATAGATTAAGCTTGTTCCGTGTTGACACTTCGTTACTCTGAGGAATGAACTGTGTTCGTTTGCGTCCATTTTACATCCAGATTAACGGTAGTATATAGGAAACCGTTATTCGCCAAAATAAATGGAGAAAGCGTATTGAGAAGACAAAGGCTATCTAAAACATATTATTTCTTAACGCTATATATTTCTAACAACCTGATAATGCATGAACTTCTAAGTTATTTTTGTCGTGGGTTGAAATCATTTGGATAACTGTTGAAAACCTGAGAGAGAGCACTGGACAGCTATTTTGTCCTCACTTACAAGTTCTCAGCAGTGTCGACCGAAGTCGTGACAGATAAATCCAGGGTCTTCAAATTAGGGCGAAACAGCTGTTCAGTGCTCTCGAGTTTTCAATAATTATCCAATGGATATCAGTATGTGATGAAAAATTCTCTGAAATCAATGAATCCCTATAAATCACTAGTACAATCACCCTTGAACTTTTCAAATTATTGATATAAAAATTCGACAAAAGGGTAATTAAGTCGATCGGAAACGTAAAACAAAAGGATAATAAGGGTATGATAAAATTTGAGGCAGATCACTTTTGGTATCAGGATTAAAAATTAATCTTATGAAGGTCGGCTTACAGTGGGTATAAATTGTATTCCAATGCACAAAGGTTATTTAGATTTGCGAATACCTAGGTATTCGATAAATCCAAACTCTCACCCTCTATTATGCAACATAATAAAGGTTGTTTCATCCTCCTTCCGATCAGTTTCCAGTATAAAGATGGACATTTGCTATCTAGACTCACCAAGTCACTAAAAGTCATTTATTTTAGAAGTCACTTTGATAGGGACTCAACCACCCCTAAATATTGTTCCTTCCTACATGTGTCAACATTTTTCAATTCTTAAACATTGTGAGACATGATACAGTCGCTTTTGTATTGTTTTGGCCATGGCCATTGAAAGTGGAAGATATAAAAAGGCTTCAGGTGTTTGATCACCGTTGCCTTCGGAGTATAGGCCGCCGTATTCCGTGGTGTCACCACGTGAGTAATGCAGAAGTTAGGTGTAGAGTTTTGGGGAGAAGAGGTAAGTCAGTCGACGAGGTTGTGAACCTTCATCGACTGAGATGGTTGGGACACGTACTACGTATGCCTAGTCACCGATTGCCTCGTCACACAATGTTGGCTGAGGTGGGTCCAGGCTGGAAAAGGCCCGAGGTGGCCAGACTAAAACATGGCACCAATGTATGAAGTCTCTGACTGTTGGTTTAAGCCATGTAGGACGATGCAGACTAGGTGGTTGGGGTCCACGGGACAAGAGGAACCAGTGGTTGGAGACCCTAGGTGATATGGCTCAGAACCGAAGTCAGTGGCGCAGATGTATACACACATTATCCTCATCTTAATAACGCTATACCGAATCTCACTATTTTGTCACTCCTCTTTCCTTTCTTCTCGTACTTTATATTTGTTTTGACTGCATTCACTTATCTTCATCCTTCACCTCACTACCTTTTTACTTGATGTGCTGATATGAGGTGTGGCAACTCGGACCGTTACGCAGTAATGCCTGGTCCTATGTTGATGATGATGATGTATTGTTTTGGCTTGTTTTGAAGCAAAGACTTTTTTCGCCACAGTAAATTACCTTGGCTTTTTGTAGTATGCTTGTCTTGCTAATGACTGATGTAAGCTTTTTTTCCGCAATGATGATATTTAAGGCTGTCAGGCAGGAAGCCACTCAGGTGGCACTTTCGGAATCTCACCTGAACGAACAGATAACAGTGGTCGCAGGCTACAGCTGTGCTCAGACAATCATCTATTTCTAGTCAACACAAACTTAAAACATGAAGAGAGACATCGCCTGACGTGGCGTCCACCGACCTCAACTTAATGGTGAACACATAGACCACATTGCTGTCAGTTATGGCTGGTGAGAGTCGGTGAAAGATTGCCATTCTTTTCGGAGCACGTGTTTGAACGGCTACCACACATTGTCCCAGACACGTATGTATGCACTTTAATGGGCGTAAAAACCTATGGCAAAAAGACCATTGCGAGTGTATTTTGACAACGACAGCACTAAGACTGGTTTCAGTGAGAAACTGGCACGTTAGTTGTGGGAACAAAACAACATCATCTCCAATCTTCTGCGAAAACAGCTTTAAAGACCGTAGATAATGGTCAGAAAGAGCAAGTGAATCTTAGCAGCAGCCTCTGAATTAATGGACGCACGTTAACCTATTCCTGTGGGCTCCGAGCACAATGACAGGCGAATGCAACTCAAACACTGACTGACAAAAGGTCTGCGCAATGACCACGGACATTGGTATGCATGGAAGACTAAGGAGATGGAAAGGACGTTGACGATCGGTAACAGGAGAAAGCTTTTTAAAGTGATAAAGGAAACTTGGGTGAAAAGGTCAACAGTTAGTGGGACTATAGCGAAGAAATATGGGTTTGTGGATTCTCCTGGAGGAGGGACGACTAGACGATGAGCGGAACACTTCGAGGAAACGTTCAATTGGCTTCCTTCTACCATTCCGTTACCAGATATCCAGTCAGATCCGAGATGGAAAACCGAGACAGGACCCCCAACTCTTGCAGAAGTCTAGAGAGTGACAGGTAACTTGAGACGGGGAAGGACAGCAGTATCAGACGGACTGGTTCTTGAGGTATATAGGGACGGTGGTAAAGTGTTTTTAGTCAAGTTAACTGAAGAGTTAACTAGTGTATGGGAGTCAGATACGACCCCTTATGACTGGTCTCAATCTCTAGTTGCCCAATTCTTCGAAAACTGTGAGAGAAGTTCGCGTGTGATAACCGCAGAGGAATCAGCTTGGCGAACATGGTGTCTAAGATTCTAGGTTCTATGATTATTAGATGTCTGACTGGAATGCGAGGGCAGCAGACTCGACAAAACCAGAGAGGTTTCAGACCTTGAAGCGGATGTATGGACTAGATATTCACCCTCTCTCAGGTTCTGTAACACATGCGCACTAATCGACACTGGTTGTGCTTCTGGACCTGAAGACGGCATTTGACTCCGTCGATCGAGAGGTCTTGTGTCAGTGTCTCTCACTAAAAGAAGTGTTGGGTAAGTACATCATTCTCTTTCAGATTCCGCATTCGAACACGCATAGGTGTTTTAGAATCTGTGTTGAGTTACTAGGTGAGTTGTGTACTTCAAATGGTGACCATCGAGTATGTTTACCTTGTTCATTTTTACTGAACTTTAGCATAGACGTACTCTCATGTTCTGACTTAACAGGAATCGATCTTATAACAGGAAAAACCGTGGCAAATCCAGATTACTCTTCGGAGATAGTCCTTTTAGGTGAAGACTCTGACAAAATACAGTGTTTTCTGGATGTATTGAATGGTAATTTGGGAATATTCTGGTCGAGTTTCTCGCCACTGAAATGCAAATTTTTACCGCAGGACTGGTCTTTACCGGTGCATTGTTCAATAGTAGAGAATATAATAGTTCGTTGCGCTGGCCACTTCACCTACCTGGAATTTCGTATCAGCTATGGCTGTTGAGTGACCAATGAAATCTTCACATGAATAGGGTAAAAAATACTCATTTGGCCTATGTCATTCATAGCGCTGATGTGATATCCAATTGTGTATTAGGATGAAGTGTACTGGGATGCAGTTCACTCTGTTCTACTGCATGGTAGTGTAACATGGCCACTAATTGTTGAGATTTCAGGTGTTCGACCACCATCGCTTTCTTAGTGTAGGGTATGTGTCATGGTGTCGTGTCAGTAATGCAGAAGTCTGGTGTAGAGCTTTGGAAAAGGGGAAGTCGTTTGTTGAGATTGTGAACCTTCACCGACTAAAGTGACTGGAACATGTGTTACGCATGTCTAGCCATTGTCCACTGCGTCACACGATGCTGACTGAAGTAGGTTTAGGCTGGAGAAAAGTTGAAAGCGGTCAGACGAAATCATAGCATGAATGCATGAAGTCTTTGCTTGTTGGCCTGAGTGAGCTGTGTGGGGAAATGTAGACTTCCAGGTTGGGGTCCGCATGACATCAGGAACCAGTTGTTGGATACTCTAGGTGACATTGCTTAGGACGGATCTTGGCGTCGCAGATGTATCCACATATTACCTCCATCTTATTCCTGACGCTAAGGTTTATTCTTCCCTCGAACTTCTTCGCTGTCTTTTGTTGAGTTTTCTACTTGTTTATGTTTTGTGTTTATTACTTCTTGTTGTATTTTCGCTTGATGTACTAATATGAGGTGTGTCAACTTAGACCATTATGCAGTGATGCCTGGTCGTGTGGTGATTTTTTTTTGTTTATCATTTTGGGTCATCTTTTAATGGCAAAGACATGTAAACTTGGTGGTGTTGTCTTCTCTGAGCTTGCTTGTTTAGTCGTGAAATGTTTTATGGAGACCTGTGGGCCTATTGATACGCTTTCAGTGGGTATGCATTCTGGGTCAGTGTGATATCCAACATTTTGACTTCCTCTTGCTTTGTGTCACTTGTGCTGATGGGGTAATGTAAGTAATTTGGCAGGGGTCATATATGATGAGATTATTTGGAATGTATTTTGTTATCACATGTTTTAGTAGTATATGCTTTGAAAATTTGTAATGTCTTCCGTTGTAGGAACAATATGTGGTTGCGCTACGGCGTAGTAGTATTTTGTGTATAACTTCAGCAGTTGAACTTATTAAATTTCGAACTAGCGAAAGTAATATTGAATCAATAGTCATTAGTAAAGCTTCCATTTTTGTCAATATAGTTGGTGAATTTTGATTAAATTTGCTATATTTTTTATCATTAACGTAGTTTTATTGGAAAACTCCTGTACCTTATGTTGCAGTCTTAAAACATGATTAAGTTGAGCAGAAACCTCGCCGATCCTAAGCCCGGATAAAGAAGGAAGGTTGGGCATAGGTTGGCAACCCTACCCCGG